AAATAATGCATTTTTCAATGTAATTAGTATTATTTACGTTAACGAGGTAAATAGGCAAACAAAACAATGTTTTCCAAAAGAACTACGCATCGTATTCTCTCTTGAATGACAATATGCCTGTACTTCACCTCTAAGGTGCGCAATAAAATATTGCGCAATCTATGCCTGTGAGGCTGTGAACGTGCTGCGCGCGCCCGAAGAATGAACCGTTATATATTTACAAGATACCCACATACTACGAGTACCGTAGGCTAGCAGACGAGTACTATGCCGCCCAAAAAAAGGCCACTGCTGCCGACGGGGTCTACAAGCCTGGCTAGTTTTGGTTTTCTCACAAAGAAACAAAAAACAGCTTTTGACAACCAAAATGCACCTGCTAGCGTGACAGCTAGCACTAACCTTGCAGCTACGGAGGATGCTGTCTTTGCTAGCGGACCTGATGCTGTTGAATGTGGGACCACCTGCACACACGAAGAAAGTTCCGAAGCGGAGCGGCATGAGGAGGCAGGAGGTACTGCTACAGAAGGACTGCCACTTAACTGGGGACACAATCAGTGGAGATCCTGGAAAGAAAGAAACACCTGGCTGTTTTCAAAGGAGTGTGGTCTTGGATGCCTCGTCTGTAAGGTAGCCAAGACTCTCTTACTTTCGGAGAAAAAATATGGAACGCATTTGGCGGATGCCTGGATCAATGGGACTGTGAGTAGCCCTGTGCAGAAGCAGTTGCGGAATTTTTTTTACATACACCGCGACTCTGTTGCTCATAAACGAGCTGTTGAAATAGCGGAGCTCAAACTAAAACAAGTGCTTCCGAAGAAAGTTGCAGAACTCAGCTCCAGCCTGTTTAATGAGACAGCTAGTTCGTTCAGGGCAGCCTATACTGTCGCTAAAGAAAGGTTGCCTTATACAAAATTGAAACCCATTATGCAACTTAATGAGATGAATGGTGCGACAGTCGGCCCTGCTCACAGATCCGATCATTCATGTGCCCAGATTGTGGAGCACATTGCACAAGAGATGAAAAAGAAATGTATTTCTAATATCAAATCACTTGATTCCCGTATTAGTCTAACGCTAGACGAAAGCACAATTCATGGACGCGCATACATGATTATTTATGTCAGGTGCGATGTCACTGGGAATGGAGATATGGACAATGTGTATTTTGACATTGTTGAACTGGACCAGGGCACTGATGCAGAGTCGCTGTGTAGCGCACTGAAAACAGCCTCCAGGCGGGGGGAATGGATGAAGAGTTTCTTTGTAAAAACCTAATTAGCATAGCCACAGACGGTGCTGCCGTGCTAACCGGGAGACAGAATGGACTCATAGCCAGGCTGAAAAAGGATTTCCCTCGTCTTCAGGCAGTTCATTGTCTAGCTCATCGTTTGGAATTAGCGGTGAATGATTCATTGAAGGCTGTGGCAGGCTGTAATCATTTAGAGTTTTTCCTCGCTAAACTCTATTCTCTTTACCACCAGTCCACGAAAAACGCCAGGGAGTTAGAGGAAGCGGCTGCGGAACTGAACATGCAGATTCTGAAAATCGGACAAGTCTTTACAATTAGATGGGTTTCCAGCAGTTACAACACTGTCAAAGCTGTGCTGAAGGACTTCCCAGTGTTAGCACATCACTTTAAATCTGCTAGTGAAGATGGCTCACGTTCCGGTGCAGAGAAAGCCAAGTACACTGGTTTACTAAAGCATCTGACATCCACTGGATTCCTCACTGATTTAGCGACAATGAAAGACGTGTTACGTGAATTACAAAGTCTCTCCCTGAAACTACAGAAACGCGACACGTCCCTGGTTGATGCAAGCCGCTACATACATCAGACGATCGAGGTGCTCTCTGCCATGAAGGACAACGATGGGAAAACTGAACTAAAAGTCAAAGCGGGCATAACAAGCGGCCAGTTCAAAGGGGTTGATATTAGAGAAACTCAACCTAAAGTAAAGAAGTCCCAATTTTACCAGTCAATCCTTGATAATCTCACCAGGCGTCTCCCCGATAGTGAGCTGGTAACTATGTTGAAGCCTCTGGATCAGCACTTCTGGCCAAAAGAGAGGACAGAGCTTGTTCTGTTTGGAGAAAGGGAGGTGGGGAAGTTTGCTAAACTTCTCGGAGAGTCCGCAACTGAAGCTGTCAGTGAGTTCAGAGACTGGAAACTTCAACAACAAGGCAAGGAACATCAGGGTAAAACCTTGAAAAGAATGATAGTGGCGAGCAACACTGTTCTTCCGACATCTGCAGAGTGCGAGAGGGGCTTTTCGGCATGCAATGACACTGACTGCAAGACCAGGAACCGGCTGCGAGCCAGAAGCCTCAACGCATTGTTGTTTGTGGACTTAAATGGGCCTCCTATCAACATATTTGACCCTTTCCCATTCATCCAATCGTGGATAAATAAAGGACATCGGACTTCCACATCATGGGTTCCAGGACCGCGACCACAGCCTGCTGAAAACAGACCACTTTGGGCTATTTTATCTGCGTAAAGCTGCGTGTGTGTCTGTGTGTGCGTGTGTGTGTGTTTGTTGGACCACGTAAAGTGAAGTCAGTCTCTCTCTCTCGTTTTATCTGTGAGAGCTAATTTTTGTATTTTCTTTAATTTGTATAGCTCTTACGTTGTTATTGATTGTGTACGAGTTCATGTGTTTGAGCATGCGCAGTCTGTCCTGAAGTTGTGGAGAGAGAGTAAAACCTAATAAACGGAGGCTCTGTTTGTGACGCTCCACAAGTACAGAGTTCCTGAGTTTTTGTGATTTTGTAATTATCTTTGAAGCCCTAACACATCAGACACTACTTGTATACTCTCAAGGGTGTGCAATATATACCATCAGTTGGAGTCTGCACCTCCAAGGTGCGCAATACATTATTGCGCAATCTATGCCTGTGTGCGTGCGCGCCTGCACGTGCGCGCGTGCAGGCGCAGGCATGCGTTAGTTTTAAAGACCCCCATAGAGCTCAGTTTATAACTCGAACCCTGCCTGCCCCACCGGGGAGGGGGGGGGGGGGCTGCGATAATAAAAGGGGTTTAGGATACTTAACGCTAACCTGGGTTCCCCAATACGAGCCCTTAGGACAAGTCACGCAGATAAGAATAAAAGGATGGACAGGGACGCGGCCTCAAGTTCAAATGTTTACAAACGTTTATTATATAAATAATCAAGTAAAAGTTCAGTAGTACAAAATGCAGATTAAAACTTATTCAGCTTTCTCAGTCGACACACATAAGTCCCACGATTGAAGGCTGGCTCTGACAAGGAGAGAATAACTATAATAATTACAATATCACACATAATGATAGTTAAAAAGTGATTCTTCTGGCCAACTGCTGAGGGTTTCCCCAAAACCACAATATCACCACGTGTAGCTGTATTCAATCAAACACTCACTACAAATCAACCATATCTGCATGCAAAAAGTGCCCAGCAAACCACATGCTCCACTCCACAGGCCAGGATCGTCACTGAAGAAGTATAAGCACAGAGATAGTATTAGACCTTGTGGGACAGAGTGGGTCGTTACAATGAGGGTGCTGTCGCTTTAAAGATTAAATCACTAGTTTGTACACAATACAACAAACTAGTCAATAAGCAAAACATAGAAGGTAGGCAAAACGGTAGCAAACTAATCCTAAAATAAATGGAGAAAGGAGATTAGAAATTGTATAAAGACTTATATGAATGTCCTTCAGTGTACATACAATTAATCTCCTACCTCTGATGCAAACGCATTCACTCAATTATCACCTCACTGGACACCTCTGCAACGGTGATTCTCTGCACAGTCTCTGCTGGGGCTGTCAAGAAGCCTGGCATTTACAGGCCACATGTTAACAATTCAGTGGTAGGCCTACACTGAATGTTACAAATCCTAACAGCAGCTTCACATACCTCGTATAGGGGGAATACACGCCTATCAGCCAGACAACGATAACTGGAACAAGAACACTCGTAATAGTCACAGCTGATGTGGGTGAGGAGTGAGTGGGCATTTAAAGTGTAGCGGGAGATGCTGAACTACATACAGCTGTGCGTTTTCCTTATATGGAAGGGCCAGCTGACTAAAGAAGGGGGGGGGGTGTCTTAAAGGGCCAGTGGCGGCCCAGCCACGTGAAGAAATGATCTGACAGCTAATCCTCAGAAAACAGTAGCGCCGGCTACATATGCATTGTGAAATGTCTTTTGGTTTGGACAAAGCAAGGCATTTTAAGACGTCACCCTTTTAGGTGAGATTATATATATTTAACAATTAATGGATTGATTTGCAAAACAATGTGCAGGATCGTCAATGATGAAATCAATTGTAAAAATTGTAAAAAAACGAATAGGGTCACTGGGATCAGTTCAAACATTTTCATAATGATTTTAAGAAAACAAAAGTAGAAGACCCATAAAACAGGTAAGTATGTTGTATCAATTTGGCAACATCAATGTTTCTTCAAAACATTGGATTACATTTGATATTGGGTCAACAAAGGATTTCGTGGTGGTTGTAATGAATATTTTTTATTTTAGTATTAACAGCTTTTCTTACTATTATTATAATTATTCTTATAATTATAATAATACTTTTAATTTAGTAATCATTTGTATTAATATTGTTCTTGTTCTTATTATTGTTGTTATTATTACTAATATAATGATGACGATTAGTAGTATTAGTAGTATTATTTATACAACTGTTATTATAAAAAACATCAAAAAAAGTGAGCTACCTGAAAGAAAGAAAAAATATGTAAAGCAACTTTATAGCTCTTCAAGTGACGAACCAGAGACCTCATGAAGAGCATTTAATGACAATAATGGCTATATTTGGTGGAGCTATAATGTAAAGGCTTTCTGTAATAGTAACAACAATAGCAACAAAAGTACTATCATTAGAAATGTTGCTTATTTTATTGTTTATGTTTATCGTACTATTTTCTTTAAGGATTTACATACATTTGTAACACAAGTCAAGAGTGTTAGTTTTTGGTGTAATTACACAACAACTTGATGGATTAGCTAATTGTTTTATTTGCTTTTGAGACAAAAACAGTTTTAAACAAATGCTCAGCATGTGATGGTCTCGCGTCGCAGCTCTAATGGTACTGTCTTCCCAGGGAGGACACCACCACGGCCAGGAACTTCTGGAAAGCTGCCTGCACCTCACCAGTGAACTCTTTACCCAGCTGAGCAGCAACCACGATGGTCAGGCAGTCGGCCAGGAGCTGCAACACAGCAAGCATCAGAACGCATCAGAAGCAGGAAAGGTTGGTAATCTCTGAATATGAATAATTAAATGAGTTCCACAACGGTACCTTGAAGTTGTCGGGGTCCACGTGCAGTTTCTCGGAGTGCAGCACGCTCAGTTCGGTGTAGGTGTTCTCTATGTCGTCCAAGTTCTTCACAGCCCGGTCCAGACCGTGCATGATGGTTGTTCCGTGTTTGGAAACCATGGGATTTCCCTTGATCGCAGCGGCGTTGTAGAGGTTTCCAAAGCCGCTAAAATACCTCTGAGTCCAGGGGTAGACGACCAGACACCTGAGGAAACACGTGAACACGTTCAAATCAAACGGTTACATTAGAAAAAATGTAGTTTAATCCAATGTGTCTGAAAGAAAACATGTCTCTGCTACATTATTTTAAAATGCAAAACTACAAAGACCCACCTGGCAAGAGCTGCAGGGCCCACCACATCATACTCAATCCTGGAGAAGATGTCCTTAATGGTGTCGCGCTCGAAGTCTGTCCATTCAACCATTTTGTCGCTTCCAGTTTGCAGGTCAGCAGATACTGAGTTCTCTGGCATCAGATGCAACCTTTTAAAGCCCTCCTGCTCCCATCCCACAACCAGCGAGTGGGTGGGTGGTGGGCCGGGCAAGTTCTATCTCATGGATTTTCTACAGTGATAAGAGAATTCGGCGAATTTGCTCCACCTACATTATCTCTGAGAGGAAGGAAATAGATTAAAGTAATAATTGTAATACAGCAACAGTAGATATCTTGAACGTATCAGTCACAGCATCAGCACCCTGGACAGAGATCTATAATTAATTATACAAAGACCAACTATACTGAGTAATGCTATAAATTATCATTTTAAATGATGTTTTCAACTTTCTTTGTATTACTTTTAATTTCCCTTCACCATCATAGGTACAGAGACATTATCCAGTTTAAGGTAACAGCCCTAGAAGTGTCTGGTTCCCTTCATACATGTTGGTATAGCCTATGAATTCAGTGCCTTTCTCAATCTCAAATCAGAAGATGGATTGAAACCAGTCAGGTAGTATCTCCAGGCTATACACTAACACAAAGGCTGATGTTTAAACAAAATGTTTTTGTCACTTTGGGGTTTAGTGTTGACATCTTAAACATTTCCAAAGTCACCATGACAAGAATTATCTGGTTTATCTCATGGGGGCTGCAACCCAACACGCCTTGTGCAGCATATCTTAGAGGAAGATCTGGGTGTTTCTATGCTCTGTTACAAGCATAAAAACCCCTCACTGCTTGGGCTGATCACCGCATTCAGCAACACACGTTCAACTGGCATTGATGACCACTCTCACTGCTAAAGACAAGCAAACAGTCAAGGCCTTCTGGGCTAAAGTGTCTGGAAAGTCCGAGGACATCGGTGCCGATGCTGTAGCCAGGTAATGTGACCGAACTGACTGCTGCAACCTGCTCCAACATTTATAAATGCATTTATGTTGGCTCTCACTAACATTTGTTTTGGTTTGACCCAGGATGCTGGTGGTGTACCCACAGACCAAGATTTACTTCTCCCACTGGCCGGACCAGAGCCCCAACTCTCCTGCTGCCAGGAAGCACGGAATAACTGTGATGATGGGAGTTGGAGACGCTGTGACCAAAATCGATGACCTGAAAGAAGGTCTCAAGGAACTCAGTCAGCTGCATGCCTTCACTCTGCGTGTGGACCCTGGTAACTTCAAGGTGCAGAGCCAGAGTGATTCAAAGATAATACCTTGAAATGTACAGGAAGTGTTTCTCAAACTTGGGCCGTTGAGAGGTTTCCAGACAGACAACAGATCCATCTGTTACAACCATGCACAACATGTCCTTATGTTTGATGGGTATATGTAACATCTGTGTCATTTTCTTCTTTCACAGATTCTCTCCCACAACATCCTTGTGGTCATGGCCGTCATGTTCCCCACCGACTTCACCCCTGAGGTTCATGTGTCTCTGGACAAGTTCCTGGCTGCTGTGTCTCTGGCCCTGTCTGAGAAGTACCGATAAGCAGCAGGAGAAGAAGAAGAAGGAGACTGCAGCATGAGATGACATTGTGTTGCATCGTGATTAATAAATGCATTCATGCTAAAAGAAAAGAAACTGTTGTATTCTGGTTTGTGTGTTATGATCATGTCAAATGTCAGAGTTAATCACAACTACAGCACAAAGCAGACTTTATAGTCAACCAGAAGAAACTCAACAGGAAACCACTTTGACCTTATTGTTATTTATTAGGCAGAAAGTCCAAACGTCCTCTTTTGTATGCATTGTGAAATGTCTTTTGGTTTGGACAAAGCAAGGCATTTTAAGACGTCACCCTTTTAGGTGAGATTATATACATTTAACAATTAATGGATTGATTTGCAAAACAATGTGCAGGATCGTCAATGATGAAATCAATTGTAAAAATTGTAAAAAAACTAATAGGGTCACTGGGATCAGTTCAAACATTTTCATAATGATTTTAAGAAAACAAAAGTAGAAGACCCATAAAACAGGTAAGTATGTTGTATCAATTTGGCAACATCAATGTTTCTTCAAAACATTGGATTACATTTGATATTGGGTCAACAAAGGATTTCGTGGTGGTTGTAATGAATATTTTTTATTTTAGTATTAACAGCTTTTCTTACTATTATTATAATTATTCTTATAATTATAATAATACTTTTAATTTAGTAATCATCTGTATTAATATTGTTCTTGTTCTTATTATTGTTGTTATTATTACTAATATAATGATGACGATTAGTAGTATTAGTAGTATTATTTATACAACTGTTATTATAAAAAACATCAAAAAAAGTGAGCTACCTGAAAGAAAGAAAAAATATGTAAAGCAACTTTATAGCTCTTCAAGTGACGAACCAGAGACCTCATGCAGAGCATTTAATGACAATAATGGCTATATTTGGTGGAGCTATAATGTAAAGGCTTTCTGTAATAGTAACAACAATAGCAACAAAAGTACTATCATTAGAAATGTTGCTTATTTTATTGTTTATGTTATCGTACTATTTTCTTTAAGGATTTACATACATTTGTAACACAAGTCAAGAGTGTTAGTTTTTGGTGTAATTACACAACAACTTGATGGATTTGCTAATTGTTTTATTTGCTTTTGAGACAAAAACAGTTTTAAACAAATGCTCAGCATGTGATGGTCTCGCGTCGCAGCTCTAATGGTACTGTCTTCCCAGGGAGGACACCACCACGGCCAGGAACTTCTGGAAAGCTGCCTGCACCTCACCAGTGAACTCTTTACCCAGCTGAGCAGCAACCACGATGGTCACGGCAGTCGGCCAGGAGCTGCAACACAGCAAGCATCAGAACGCATCAGAAGCAGGAAAGGTTGGTAATCTCTGCATATGAATAATTAAATGAGTTCCACAACGGTACCTTGAAGTTGTCGGGGTCCACGTGCAGTTTCTCGGAGTGCAGCACGCTCAGTTCGGTGTAGGTGTTCTCTATGTCGTCCAAGTTCTTCACAGCCCGGTCCAGACCGTGCATGATGGTTGTTCCGTGTTTGGAAACCATGGGATTTCCCTTGATCGCAGCGGCGTTGTAGAGGTTTCCAAAGCCGCCAAAATACCTCTGAGTCCAGGGGTAGACGACCAGACACCTGAGGAAACACGTGAACACGTTCAAATCAAACGGTTACATTAGAAAAAATGTAGTTTAATCCAATGTGTCTGAAAGAAAACATGTCTCTGCTACATTATTTTAAAATGCAAAACTACAAAGACCCACCTGGCAAGAGCTGCAGGGCCCACCACATCATACTCAATCCTGGAGAAGATGTCCTTAATGGTGTCGCGCTCGAAGTCTGTCCATTCAACCATTTTGTCGCTTCCAGTTTGCAGGTCAGCAGATACTGAGTTCTCTGGCATCAGATGCAACCTTTTAAAGCCCTCCTGCTCCCATCCCACAACCAGCGAGTGGGTGGGTGGTGGGCCGGGCAAGTTCTATCTCATGGATTTTCTACAGTGATAAGAGAATTCAGGCGAATTTGCTCCACCTACATTATCTCTGAGAGGAAGGAAATAGATTAAAGTAATCATTGTAATACAGCAACAGTAGATATCTTGAACGTATCAGTCACAGCATCAGCACCCTGGACAGAGATCTATAATTAATTATACAAAGACCAACTATACTGAGTAATGCTATAAATTATCATTTTAAATGATGTTTTCAACTTTCTTTGTATTACTTTTAATTTCCCTTCACCAGAATAGGATACAGAGACATTATCCAGTTTAAAGTAACAGCCCTAGAAGTGTCTGGTTCCCTTCATACATGTTGGTATAGCCTATGAATTTAGTGCCTTTCTCAATCTCAAATCAGAAGATGGATTGAAACCAGTCAGGTAGTATCTCCAGGCTATACACTAACACAAAGGCTGATGTTTAAACAAAATGTTTTTGTCACTTTGGGGTTTAGTGTTGACATCTTAAACATTTCCAAAGTCACCATGACAAGAATTATCTGGTTTATCTCATGGGGGCTGCAACCCAACACGCCTTGTGCAGCATATCTTAGAGGAAGATCTGGGTGTTTCTATGCTCTGTTACAAGCATAAAAACCCCTCACTGCTTGGGCTGATCACCGCATTCAGCAACACACGTTCAACTGGCATGATGACCACTCTCACTGCTAAAGACAAGCAAACAGTCAAGGCCTTCTGGGCTAAAGTGTCTGGAAAGTCCGAGGACATCGGTGCCGATGCTGTAGCCAGGTAATGTGACCGAACTGACTGCTGCAACCTGCTCCAACATTTATAAATGCATTTATGTTGGCTCTCACTAACATTTGTTTTGGTTTGACCCAGGATGCTGGTGGTGTACCCACAGACCAAGATTTACTTCTCCCACTGGCCGGACCAGAGCCCCAACTCTCCTGCTGCCAGGAAGCACGGAATAACTGTGATGATGGGAGTTGGAGACGCTGTGACCAAAATCGGATGACCTGAAAGAAGGTCTCAAGGAACTCAGTCAGCTGCATGCCTTCACTCTGCGTGTGGACCCTGGTAACTTCAAGGTGCAGAGCCAGAGTGATTCAAAGATAATACCTTGAAATGTACAGGAAGTGTTTCTCAAACTTGGGCCGTTGAGAGGTTTCCAGACAGACAACAGATCCATCTGTTACAACCATGCACAACATGTCCTTGTGTTTGATGGGTATATGTAACATCTGTGTCATTTTCTTCTTTCACAGATTCTCTCCCACAACATCCTTGTGGTCATGGCCGTCATGTTCCCCACCGACTTCACCCCTGAGGTTCATGTGTCTCTGGACAAGTTCCTGGCTGCTGTGTCTCTGGCCCTGGCTGAGAAGTACCGATAAGCAGCAGGAGAAGAAGAAGAAGGAGACTGCAGCATGAGATGACATTGTGTTGCATCGTGATTAATAAATGCATTCATGCTAAAAGAAAAGAAACTGTTGTATTCTGATTTGTGTGTTATGATCATGTCAAATGTCAGAGTTAATCACAACTACAGCACAAAGCAGACTTTATAGTCAACCAGAAGAAACTCAACAGGAAACCACTTTGACCTTA